AATCTCCCCGCCTAGCACTTTTATGGGGGTGTTCTTGCAACGTGGCATGGGACAGCTCGGGCTACGTCCTTTCACCGAATCTTAACGAGACCGGTATTCTGCTTGGGGTACGTTCGGTGTTTGCTGGCCCTTTGGAGCCCATAGGCCCTTTTTTTGCCACTTGCTTCCCTTTTCGTCGACGAGCTGCAGTGCTCGGGGCACGGGCTATTTCCAATTGCCGCCCTTTCGCGTGACCTGTAGATGTTTTTGGCGGTTGCACCACCCCCGCTGATCTGGATGGCACGCCCTAGTCCAAACGGTCTAACCTTCGGTTGACCGTCTGGAGAGTATTGTCGAACCTCTCCAAGTAGCTTCTAATGACAGGGTCTAGTTGTGAACTTGAAAGGATATCCCCTGCAGCATTTTGCGGGACAGAAGGTATTTTGGAAGAGGTGTCCCCTTGGACTTGGAGAATCCCCTCAGCACCCTGGTTGGTTTGCTCAGGTTCAGGTTGGCGGGCCATTTGCTGTTGTAGGACTGGTAAGTTAGAGATTCTCCTGATGAAGGATGAACACTAAATCAGGCCTTCTTTCTAGCGTCAAACTGTTGATGCGTGGTTTTTACACCAACAAAATGCACATGTGAAATGCTGAGTTTTCCCAGAAGACACACGTGAATAGAAAGGAAAATGAGAGTAAATGCAATGGAAACAGCTTTTAAAGTGGTTCGGATGCTAAGGCAGCAAGTCCTACGTCCACTGATGCTTTATTAATGATAAGGGTCAGGTCGCCTTAGCTGACTGACTTACACATGATTGTACAAGCGAGTGGATGCTACAAATTAGAGAGAGAATAGCTAATTTAAGAGTAAAAAAGTGCGAATCCCCTTAATGAGAGGGGAGCTCTTAATTTATAGTGGGATACATTGAGGAAATGATTACTGGATCAATGAATTGTTGGGATTATCCGTGCAAATCCTTCTTTATGTCACATTGCCCACCTTCTAGAGAGATTTGCGCGATTTGGAGCAGGGATTGGACACGTGGGATCACCACAGCTCCTGGCTGGCCTGGCGCGCGCCCACTATTCTGACAGAGGCAGGTTGCGGGTGTACCCATGTTCTGACTTTTGCAGGCTGACTGGACCTTATGTCAGCCCTATATTTTTCAGGCATAACAATAATGATCAATTGTTTGATTAAAAATATTAATTACATATATATAATTATTATCTATCTGGCCAAAATTGTTACAAAATTTTCAACATTACTCAAATTTCTAAGTTTGAATAAATCACTCATAATTTTAATTGAACAAAATGTCATTTAAGCTGTTATATTTAGCGGATAAAAATATTGTATAGACATGACAAAATGTATTTATTACAATTGAAGGAATAAACTATTTATATCAAACTTCATGATGTTACTTTAACAAATTAACGGTTTAACTTACAAAGGTTATGGTTAAGACAAACATCAATTTTTTTAAAATTGTCATATTCTGTGAGGGAGAACGGCTTACACATACCCAAAGTTTGTTGTAAAGATAATTAGTACCCAAAGGTTTGAAAATGACAAACATATACTTTCCATCATGTGCTGTTAGTAATTTATGTTTATTGAAGGATAATGGTAGAAAAGATGGGAATGCCGTTCGAAGTTTATATCTTAGTTTTTTATTAATTTTAGACAACTTATTCAATTACGTAAATACCCACATCATTATGGTGAATTATGATTATGCCACCAAGTTATTATAAGTTGGTGAAATGACTAGCTTGTCCCTATGAGTATGTGAAAAATGAGACACAACAAATGACCAATTTGTCCTTGTTTTGGTAGCAAATTTTTAAGTATACAAAGAAAGTAGCAGAATAAAATTGCTCATTTGTAGCTGAAATTCATCATGATTTAAAATAAATCATTCATACAAAAGAATATAATTTGTAATGAAATTCTTCTTCAGTTACAAATAAACATAAACTATGAATTTGGTATAATAAAATGTATTTGTTGGTAAGAGACTGAAAAGAGCAATGATAAAAGCTTGAGGGATTAATCTGTAATTTCTCATATTTCCCTTATTTCCCTTACAAGCAACGATGTCGTTTTGTAATGTTCAGTAGCTATTATCTTTGCTCACTTACTCAGCTTACTCACTCTCTCCAACTCTGTATATAAATTCCCAAATGTGTAATCTCACTCTCTTAAGTTCAATAATACAGATTCTCTCCAAAGTTTTCTTCAATTTAGTTTTTCTTTCAATTCCTTCACACGGTACCAGAGCCAAAGACTAACGTCAATGGGAAAGATTTCCGGAAACAACAACTTCAACGTGAACTCAGAAAAGATGTTTGGTAGCTCAACTTCAATTTTTTCATCTAGCCTTCAAGTAGTTAGTCCAAAGCTAACAAGAGATAATTATGGCTTCTGGAGATCACAAATCTTGTCGGCTGTCGGAGCTCATGATCTTGAAGAACACTTAACAGGTCAAGCTCAATGTCCTGAACCTTTTATTTCTTTAGATAGTAGTATTGAAAATGAGTTAAGTGAAGATGGAACTAAAGAAACCCTAGGAAAAGAAAGGATTAATCCGGCTTATGCAGCCTGGAAAAAGACTGATAAGTTTCTTGTCACATGGCTTCTAGTATCAATTTCTGAATGTATGTTTAGTAACATGTCCAAGTGTAGATTTGCTACTGATATCTGGTTTGCGCTTGAGAATGAATTTTTAAGTGACTTTAAGGCCAAAGCCTTACATTTAAAGATTCTTTTACAAAATACTCAAAAAGGTAACATAACTGTGAATGAGTATGTTAAAAAGATGAAGGGAATTGCTGAGAGTCTGTCGGCAAGAGGTTAAGTCATTTAAGATGAAGATTTGCTCTAGAATGTCTTAGATGGACTGGGACCAGAATTTGACGCAGTCGTTGTGAACCTGACTTCCAGAATTAAAGCAAAGTTTGATTCAATTTCACTATAGAAGGCACAGTTCTTATTGCAAAAATATGAACTGAGGCTTGAGAGGTTCAACTCTATTGATTTTCCTCGTAGCTCAGTTAATGTTGCTGCTCTTAGTAGTGCTAATAACAAATTTGTGTTCCCAAATTCTATATTGTTGCCATCTATTCATACTGGTCCATCTAAGGAAGCTCTTGGTCCTCTTAATCAGTTGACTTCTCTACAGAATTCATTACCAGTATTACCACAGATTTGTCACTCATCAGCTTCCCAAAATGCTCTGCATTATCCCTCTGATTTTGGAAACCAATCTGGTGCCTTCAATTCTGGTGCTTTCAATGCTACATTTTCTCCCTATCGACCTTTTGGTTTTGTTGGAAATGGTAAAGGCCGAGGCATAAATAATGGTAGAGGCAAACCAATCTGTCAATTATGTAGCAAGATTGGACATACAACACCTCAATGCTACCATCGGTATAATGCCAACTATAATGGAACACCACCTCAGTTTTCTGGTTCTTCTTCTGCTGCTGGTACTGGTTCTAGCATGTTTAATTCTGAGTTTGTTGATCACAATCACCAGAATATGGTTGGTGCTGGTCAACAAAGCTTGGTTGGTACTGCTCATAGGAGTACAAATTCTAATGGACAGAGTCCTCATTTCTTTACTATTGGCCATCCGAATATTGGAACATCCAGTGGGAGTTAGCAGCAGTTTTATTCACCTACCAATCATTTTGGTTCATATCCTCATCAAGAAGGGAATACTGGTATATAACAACCAATTCAACAACTTCATGCTTAGCAACATCATTCAGCTTTTCCTTCTCAGTAGCAAGGATTTCAAGTTCCTAGTGAACAGCAATTGCACTCTCCTAATCAAGTGTATTTTGCCTCTCATTCAGCAACTGCACCACTTCCTCATATGCAGGTTTCACACATTACTTCAACCACACCTCTTGATCTAGCTTGGTATATGGATTCAAGAGCCATTGATCATGTCACCCCTGATCCACATCAATTAATAACCAGCAGGAGTAATGAAGGTAATGAACAATTGCAAGTGGGCAATGGTCAGTCTCTTTTCATATCTCATATTAGTCTTACCTTGTTACCTAGTTCTTTACAATCAAGATGTGTTCACTTGGAAAATATTTTTTTTGTGCCTAGAATTACAAAAAACTTACTTAGCATTTCCAAATTAACTAGAGATAATCAGGTTGTTGTTGAGTTCGACTCTGATTCTTGCACTGTTAAGGACAAAGCTACCAGAACAGTATTACTCAAAGGAGGACTTAAAGCTGGTTTATATCAGTTGCTTATCCCTTATACTCTGCAATCCTATTCAGTTGATGTGCACAATTACTCTAGTTCATCTCAGCCCTTTACTGCCACTTTAGATCACAAGTCTTTAGAGTTGTTTGAAGCTGATTCTAGTCAGTTCAGTTGTACTAATAAGCAGGTTGTTCAACCCGAGCAGATTAATCCTTTGAGTCAACTTAGTTGTTCTAACAAAAAGGTTGTTCAACCTGATTAGAATAATTGTACTCCAGGTTTATCTGACTTGAATATATGTACTTTCCTTCAACCTAATAAAACTACTTCATTACTATCTCATCAACATGATCATAATGCTCAACTACTGTCTAATATTACCTGCTATGAATCAAATGTCATCACCAACAAACCATGGTTACATCATGATCATTCCATCAATGGTTGTAAAAATTGTAGTCATCATGAAAAAGATCCATCATTTGCACTTCATGTTAGCAATGCCAAAGAAAACAAGATGTCTTTTTGGCACAATAGATTAGGCCATCCTCATACTGATGCACTTTAGAAAATTCTGACTTATCTGCATAAAGACACCACTGAATCAGTTTCAACAAAATCTTTACCTTTCTGTGATGCCTGTAAATTAGGCAAACTTCACAAGAATCATTTTCCTATGTCACAATCTAGAGCAACCAAACCATTAGAACTTATCCACAGTGATATTTGGGGACCAGCTCCAACTATCTCTCTAAAAGGTTATAGATATTACATTCACTTTATAGATGACTATAGCTGATACACTTGGATGTTTCCTTTACGAACCAAGGCAGATGTTCAGTCTGTGTTCATCAAGTTTCACCATCTTGTTGAACGAGAATTCAATTGTAAACTTTTATGTTTGCAATCTGACCAAGGGGCATAATATAAGAGGTTGATTTCCTATCTTGCAATTGTAGGGATACAATTTAGACACTCATGTACATATATCCATCAACAAAATGGAAGAAGTGAAAGAAAACACAAACACATTGTAGAAACTGGTCTTACACTATTAGCTCATGTATCCATGCCCTTGCATTTTTGGTGGCTTGCATTTGACACAACTGTTTTTCTTATAAACAGAATGCCTACCTCTGTCCTGAACTTTGTCTCACCTTACCAAGTCTTATTTAATAGAACACTGGTTTATTCTTCCCTTAAAGTCTTTGGGTGCATCTGTTTTCCTTATTTAAGGGATTACAACAAACATAAGTTTAGTTTTCACTCTTCCAAATGCGTCTTTGTAGGATACAACCTGATTCACAAAGGTTATAAATGTTACAATTCTGAAGGAAAAATATTTGTCACTCCTAATGTTCAGTTTAATGAGTTAGAATTTCCTTTCTCTAAAGAGTTGTGTCTTTCTTCTGATTCTGCAAATCAACCTTCAATACCTTTTAATAGGTTCACCTCTATAGATTCTAACTCTTCAGTGTCTAGTTTTCCTTATAATGTTGTGTCCTCAGCAACTAATTTTACCAGTAAGGAACTCCCTTCAAGCAAACCTTGTTCTACAGGTGGTGATTCTCCTTCAATCTCTAGAATGCAGTATCAGACTCATTTTGTCAATAATAATCTGCTCAATCTTGATCTACACATTCCTAATCCTTCCCATCAAAATTCTGACATCAATTCCCACAACAACTCTAACTCTTTTGAAAAATTCCCTGCTGTTTCACATACCAGTTCACAAACACAACCCTTCCCAACTACCATTCATACTTCTTTCCCTTCTTTACAACCAACACCAAATACAGGTTCAACCCAATCATTATGTCCCCTGGAAATAGATCTCACTGGTTACCCTCCAGCTGCCTTAACTACAACTTTTCTCAAGTCATCCAAATTGTCATCTCATCCCATGAAAGAGCACTTGCCTACTTGCTCACTTGCTGCTGATTTAACACCTTCACAACCCTGCAAACCATCCAATTTTAGTTTACCTTCCACATCAGCCACCAACAAAAATATCCATCTTCATTCCACCAAACCCACAACTACCAACATTCACCCAATGACAACCAGATCCAAAGCTGTTGCTTCTACAACCACCACTGCTTTAATTGTTTCCAAACCTGCCCATCTTGAACCTAATTCACTCTCTGAAGTCTCTGCAACTGCTGACTAGAAGAGTGCATTGCAAGATCAATTTACTGCTTTAACTGTTTCCAAACATGTCTATCGTGAACCCAATTCAGTCTCTGAAGCCTTTACAAATGCTGAATGGAAGAGTGCAATGCAAGATGAATTTAATGAAGAATGGTACTTGGACTCTTGTTCCAAAAGAAGCTGATATGAATGTGGTGGGTAACAAATGGGTTTTTAGAACAAAGTTTCATGCTGATGGAACTCTCCAAAAGTATAAGGCCAAGCTGGTTGCAAAGGGTTTTCAACAAACCCCAAGGTTAGACTATTTTGAGACATTTAGCCCCGTTATTAAGCCTTGTACAATCATAATTATTTTCACCCTTGCTGTCACCTATGGATGGGATATACAACAAATAGACGTCAATAATGCTTTCTTGAATGACACTTTGAGTGAAACAGTATATATGAGGCAGCCTAAAGGATTTGAAAGTGTTGAATATCCTTCTCATGTGTGTAAACTCAATAAGGCACTCTATGGACTCAAGCAAGCACCATGAGCTTGGTTTGATAAACTCAAGCAAGCATTACTTGATAAAGGATTCTGTAATTCAGTTTTAGATTCAAGTCTATTTATTCTCAAAGATTCTGGTCAAGTACTTTATGTACTAATCTTTGTAGATGATATACTACTCACTAGTTCCAACAATTCTGCTATACTTCAGCTGGTTCAAGATCTGAACAATCAATTTTCCTTGAAAACTTTGGGTTTTGTCACATATTTTCTTGGTTTAGAAGCCACTCAATCTAAAGCAGACAAAGTACATATCAGATCTACTTGCCAAAACCAAAATGCAGGATGCACATTCTTGTCCTACCCCTATGCCTGCTAGTATCAAACTCTTTACTGTAGACAGTGAGTTATTTCAAAATCCTAGTCTCTATAGAAGCACCATTGAGGCTCTCCAATACTGGACATTAACCAGGCCAGATATCAGCTTTACCGTGAACAAATTGAGCCAGTTTCTTCAAGCTCAAACTGAGCATCAGTGGCAAGCTTGTAAGCGGGTGTTAGGATATATCAAAGGGACTCAATTTCGTGGTCTTGTCTTCAAGCCAGCAGCCTCCTTGTGCATTGAAAGTTATGCTGATGCAGATTGGGGTAATAATCTAGATGATAGGAGATCCACAAGTGGTTATTGCATCTATTTAGGTCCCAATTTGATTCAATGGAGTTCTAGAAAGCAAAAGGTGGTTGCCCTCTCATCAACAGAGGCTGAATATAGAGCATTAGCTCAAACAACCACTAAATTGGCCTAGCTGGACAATTTGTTCTCTAAATTGGGTATGAAGTTAAACTCTTCTCCTATCATTTGGTGTGATAATATTAGTGCTGGTGCACTAGCCGCTAATCCAATTTTTCATGCGAGTACCAAGCATATTAAGATTGATACACACTACATACGGGATCAAGTGTTGGCCAAAAAACTTACTGTATAGTATGTCCCTTCCAAGCTGCAAATTGCGGATATACTGACCAAGGCTCTCTCTATTTCTCAGTTTCAAGAACTTAAACAGAAACTCACTGTTACTGAAGTAAAGGCTCCTTGACATAACATTTTGTATTGTCATTTTCTGTACTGTCATGGTGCAGTTGTTATGCAAAATTTGTGCACTTTTCTTTCAAACTTGATATCTTTCACTTGAAGGAGTGCTGCAGAGGAGTTTTATGCAGAGTAGTGTTCTGCAGAGTGACGTTCTATAATGCAAATTTCAGTTGCTATTCTTCAGATGCAGATTTAATTTTAGTCTCAGTTGGCTGTCAGATTCAAATTTAATTTCAGTTTCAATTGGCTGTCAGATGCAGATTTCTTTTTCAGTTGATTGAGTTCAATTGTTATGCAAATGAATACTTTATAAAGTAGTGTTATGAAGAGTAATGCAGTTCCTGTTTCAGATGCAGATTTAATTTCAGTTGGCTGAGTTCAAGATTGTTATACCGAGAAGTGGTTTACAGAGTAGTGTTGTGCGGGGTAGTGCAGTACACTATTTAGATGCAAAGCTTCAATTTTGGTTTTGCTTCAGGTGTTTGGTTTTGCTTGCAACTCTAGTTTCAATTGGTTTAGTTGGTTTAGGAGTAAAGTTCAGTTTTGTCATTCAATTGCATCAGCTCAGATCAAGTTATCTGACATTAATACAACCTAGTTTCACTCAACTAAGTCTTCAACAGTCTTGATAAAAGCTTAGTTGAATCAATGTTTTCGATTCAATACAGACAAGTTGCCTGAGAGTAGTCCAGTCTACAGAGGCATGTTGACCATATATATAAGGAAGAGTTTTATAGCTAAACAACTGCAGTTTAGTTTAAGGGGTAGTGTTGGTAAGAGGCTGAAAAGAGCAATGATCAAAGCTTGAGGGATTAATCTATAATTTCTCATATTTCCCTTACAAGCAATGGTGTCGTTTTGTAATGTTCAGTAGCTATTATCTTTGCTCACTTACTCAGCTTACTCAGTCTCTCCAGCTCTGTATATAAATTCCCAAATGTGTAATCTCACTCTCTTAAGTTCAATAATACAGATTCTCTCCAAAGTTTTCTTTAATTTAGTTTTTCTTTCAATTCCTTCACAGTGTTTACAAGGAAGATATACAAAAAAAAAAAAAAAAACAAAAGCAATTTCCAAGATGCTTCTGTTACAGCTCCTAAATGTTGTGTAAATCTTCAATTGTATATGTTGATTTACATCTTTAACAATTTCCTCCTCCATGCTTCACTATTCTGATTTTCGGAAAAGTGTAAACAGACAAAGAGATACACCATGGTTTTCAATAACAAAACAAAAAGATGATCAAAAATTAAAAATATAGCTATAACAGATAAAAATTAAGATAGAGAACAAAAACAAATAAAAACTCAAACAAATCTACCATGCACAACTGCTGCCTACCCAAACAAATAAGGTCCAAATCCAACCACCAAAAACAAGTAGCTCAAATTAACCCAAGTAGATCATGCCAAAATTAAAACATAAACAAACAATCAAACAATCACACCATGCATTACTTAAACTTTTACGAATAAATCAATATGTACTAGGGATTATTCTTTTAAATGTTATAGTTTCAAAGCTGAAAATAAATCTAGAGTACAACTCCTTGGCTTTCTCAAGTACAACAACCACAACCATATTTGAAATAGGAATTGAACACCTTTCTTAACACTGCATCATCAGATACCAAGACAATGATTCAGTAAGTTCTTTCAATCATTGAAACTCCAAGGTTATCATAAGTAGACAGGCTGTCATAAAACCAACCCAAAATAAAAAGGTAGCTATAAAATTTACAAAGTTAAAATCCCGAAACAAGGGAGTTGATTTGAAACTATAACATTTAAAAAGATAATCCCTTTGCAAGAGCTTCACACCAATAAACTAATAAGAGCAATGTTGTATACTCTAGATTTATTTTCAGCTTAGCAACTAACCCTTGAGTACAAATATAAAATATACGCAAGTATATATTGATTACCATACTCAATGTTAAAATCCCAAAACAAGGGAGTTGATTTGAAACTATAACATTTAAAAGAATAATCCCTTTGCAAGAGCTTCACACCAATAAACTAATAAGAGCAATGTTGTATACTCTAGATTTATTTTCAGCTTAGCAACTAATTTACGTAATTATGACTTCCTTTCCCATCCTTGAGTACAAGTATAAAGTATATGCAAGTATATATTGATTACCATACTCAATAGGTACTTGCATATATTTCAGCATGCTTCAACGTCAAAGAAATTATTATTCAATTCAGAATCATTCCAAAATAATTTTTCACTTTCTTATTACAACTTAAATACAGAGGAGTCCCTATACTATTGCCAAATGATATCTAACATAATCAAAATCCAACAAGTTACATTATATATACAATTAGTGGCACTATAAACCACGCGCTTCTAAAACTATAGCATACAGGAGTAATTTTATGACAAGAATCTGACTGAGGTCTTTTATCAAATAAGTGGTGTTCGAGTGAACTTAGAATAACAGTGAACATAAGAGCTAGTCAATAAACAAAGACAAATACTCAAATAGAGAGTGTAGAGTGAAAGGGAGACCATTTGGCCAACAATTTTGCAGGAACGCCTGCCCATACAAATAGGAGGGAATGTCTGTATTGTCCTGAGTTGATAGTTGTAGTATTTCACTTCATATAAGTGAACCCATGAAGATATTGATGATGCTGATGAAAATTGATTCCTACTAAGCAACCAATGTTTAGAGAGAGCAAATGAATCGAAGGAGCATTTTGAAGAGGCGCCATTATCAACTTCTAATGACACTCCAGCAGCCAAAATAATTCAACATTATTACATACATAAAGAAACAATAATACCCAAAATATAAATATAATTATATATACAAAAAATTCCAGATTTATAAAACACTTCCATCATTCCCTAAACATACACTCACACCAAATTTTAATAATCAAGAAAGTCCAAATTATAATTCAACTTTAGCCAATAATAACCACAATAAAAATTTATCACACCGATTTAACAAATTCAATTAAACTTCCTCCTTGCTTACCCAATGTAAATCTCCCAATTAAATTGACACAAACACTCCCAATAATAAATTCAAGGAAACTAGCCCCTCCATTTGGCTATATATATATATCAACATCAACACAATTGATTGAGTATATGAATCTAGAAGCATAGATAGAAATTGATGTCATATTATTTGAAAATAAACCCATTTGCATTATGTTATCTCAACTAATCATTATACCATAAAATCACTCTTTAAATCAAGACAAATTCAACACAAGCAATAACAGAATTCAACACAAACCAGTAGCAAACTGCAATAGATATGTTCAGTCGATCGACGATGAAGGCAAAAGAGCAACAGAGAGTCCAAGAACAGGAACCACGATGAAGATGAACGTGACAGAGACCAAGAATCAGTCAACGACGATGAACTGATGAAGATAAACGCAACAGAGGAGCGATAGAGACCGAGAACGAA